CGTGACACCAAGGAAACCATAGCTGCGACGTGGGGGGCAGTGACATATATATATATAGAGAGAGAGAGAGTTATAAGTTACATGTATCACAATTTATCCTTGTAGTATGTTGCATCAAAGAGTTGTAAAAATTGAGGTGCAAAGGCTTCAATGACATCACGATGTCAATGCCTAAACTTGCAACATCTTGCAACCAGCACCAGTAGGAGGACCAATGACGGTACCTGAATCTAGCTGCTGTTGGAAAAAAGGGACGTTTCATCTGCTTTGATCTGTGACATGGCACTCCATTGAGATGGAGTGTGAAGCCGTCTGCCATGATACCTTTGGCACTGAGCTCATCCCACGCCGATTGGCCGCCCAGCTGACAAATAGCCTGCTTGTTTGTGTGCATTCCGGCACTCAACTGTATCGCGTGCCCATCTGCGCCTCCCTTGCTCTTCGGCCAAGGCCGATGGTATGAGATCTTCCCTTATTCTTGGTTCCTCGGGCTGAGTCTCTGAATGTCTGTTTGCACAGCATGTGTTCGAAGCTGTCCTGTCTTGACTTCTGGTCTGCCTTCTAGGATGCAAATGTCCAGTCCTGGCTGAAAACCATCAACTACGATCAACTACGGCATTCAAATTCGACATGGAGACAAACGCCACTTTTCCTGGAATGTTGATCAGGCCACGGGCCAAAGCAAGACCACCAGGACCGCCGCCCACAATGATCACACGCAAAGGCCTGGAGTAGTAGTAGCAAGTGCCAAAGGGCGAGTTGAGAGCTTGATGGAAATACCAGATTCAAGCTTGTCAGAACAAGCTCTTGGATCCTACATACATTCAAGAGTCAAAATTATGCCAGCAGCATAAACCCCAAACAGTTTCCGCATCTTTTGCGTCAACTCATTGAATTCCGTTGGTGGTAACGTTGGTAATTATATTCTATTCCTATAGCCTCCAGCTGTTGGAGAACAGCATGTGTCAAATTCCAAGCGCTGTATCGCTGTTGCATGCATAGCAATACGAAAACATACCCAGACAAGGCAGTGGAGAAAGGAAAAGCGGCGTGGCCAGGCAGGGGACAAGGCTCGGACAAGGCGGTGATAAAAGGGCAGATAACGCGGACAAGAGAGACAAACAGACCCGGACAAGGCCTGCACAAAGCCCTCACAAGGCGGAGAAGAAAGGCCCACGGCACCCGGCCCACGCCACGGCAAGGCTTGATCATTGAGAGAACCCGGCATAAACTGTTTGGGGAACATAAGGAGGACACCTGGCTCGCCAGCACGGCACGAGGATAGCAGGGACACCAGGAGTCCAGGAGGACAAAAGGAGGATACAAGGTTCGCGAGCGTGACCAAAGGACAACAGGAGGACACCCGGGGCACAGGCAGAGACTGTGGCCGGCGTCTTTTTCCTCAGAGAGAACCCCGACAGTAGACTCTACCTTCAAGCAGCACGATCGCAGGCCCGGACTAATGCCTGACCACAGTGAGACACTAATCGGCAAACTACGAACGAAGAGGGCAGAGGAATGTAACGTGCACGAACCGAAATGCGGAAACAGCCTCCAAGACGCAAACTGCACTGCATTAACATATATCGGAATTATCGGAGAAAAAAAGAACGTTGTTCACTCCTAGACTGGGTCTCCGTTGAATCTTGGTGCTGACAGTCTTGGCTCTTGAGCCAAGGTGGGATTCTAAAACTTCTCTGACTCTAGACTCTAGAAAGCTCTTGAATCTTGCATCCGGGAACGTTTGCAAACGTTTGAATACACTGGGACTACGAACCCAACTGCTCCCACCAGCACCCGGACGTGGTGCAAAAGCGTCAACTAAGCATCACCCGCTGAATCAACAAATATTTCAAACTCCAGGTGATCCTTTCTACTGGAGTAACAGCTCGGAAAACAATGGACTCTTGGAAATTTCCGGTATATATATAACTTAACTTAACTGTATTTAGATCCAGCAACATGGGCTTACGCCGTATGGTTCCTAAACAAACCAACACAATTGGCTAAACAATGGATACATTCCGCCAAAGGCTAATTGCCAGAAGTATAGAGCCCCTTTAATGGGTTGACTCAGCAAAGTATGATGGAAGACACGTACAGAAATACAAATGTGCAAGACGTGCTGCAGCCCAAATGAATGGGCTATAAATTGCATTGTTTCGCTAGGATTGCATGGACTTCTGAACTGTTCGCCCGATCAGGTTTTCTCTGCATGTTCATTCACAGGAGCGCCTTTGAATGTAAAAGGGCGGTGTGGTTTGCTAGAATAGGATGTTTCAAGTGTCATTACATTGAAGCAGGTGCCCTTTTGTAGCTGCACATCTTTTGCAAAGAAGATCCTGACTTTATCCTCAACATAAAGCCTTCAAACATACTTGTGTACATGTATACTTGCGGAACGACATGCTTACACATGTTTACAACAATGCGATGGTCTTGAGTCTTTAGATTAAAAATATGTCTGTCTGAATGATGTTATACATGAATGAGAACTTTGAAATACGAAAGGGCAGGTGCAAACTCAATAGTTAGATGGAGGAAGCCGTGTTCGTCAAATGTAATTGAACAAAATGTCTTGACTTGAAGGCAACACAGCGAAAGAGAGGGAGGGAGATAGAGTGAAAGAAACGAAGCAGCAGAGTGTCTCCAAACACATGCAAAAATCTTTCGATGGGGAGATGTTGATATTGTTCCTAGACAGGTAAGTATATATGTGTATATATATATAGTCTTTCCGCTACAAATGCAACACTTGTGCATGAAGAAAGCAAAATACTTCACGTCTTACAAGTGTGTAGCACGTGCACATATGCTGCGTATCCAGTCGTGCCCAACTGGCCAACACTTACCACACACACTTGAGAAGGTTGCTCCGTGGAGCGCGATTTCAGGCTGCTTCGCGGTGTGCATTAGCCCTTTAAGTGAATACTTAGCACTTGACTGAAAGGAAAATGCTGGGTCGGTCGAACAGAATTGTTGAAACATCGAATGACTGAAGATTAAAAATTGAATTATGCAGGTACGCTGGGATGATCAGTCCCAGTATCACCAAGGCTTAGAGAGCGTCTTCGTTGGTGGTAGACTTTCTGCCTTGCTACCACCCCCTGCTGCTGTACATTGGTCAGGAAAATCATAGGGTAGGTTAGAAAGAGTTGGGGTAGTGTCCTTGGAAACAGGAGTGGACACACACACACACATCCCACCTTCCACTGCATCACTACCTTGAGAACAACCTGGCCCAATGGTACACCAACCAGGGCTGGACGCCCAACACTAGCACGGCTTCCACGTGGCAACATGACCTCACACACCTCACCATACGAGGTCCACCACACAGCCCACAAACTCAGGCCACCACTCCCGACATTGCACCAGACCCACCCGCGCGGCATTCACATAAGCTCCGCGAGGCTTGGCGGGCCACCCAATACCAAGCATGGGCTACTTCCACTCGAGTCGATGCCACTGAAGCACAACCACCACCCTACAACGAACAGCGGGTGCAAGCCGCGCGCAAAGCTGCGCTACCCAGCACCCACCACTTCAGCATTCTGACAGGTGGGGCCGTCAGCAAAGCCCACCATGCAATAATGACCTCCCAAGGTCCACCCACAGACATTGCTAAGCAATGTTACGACTGCCCCGAAGTGGGCACCTGGACGCACACTTGCTGCATTGCCCAGGCAACCCACCACCAATCCCAACCCCTGCCGACCGACTCCAGACTCGGTTGGCCACGGGTTGGTATGCATCAGCAGAATTTCCCACACCATAACTACAACGAGACCGTCCTTGCACATATGGTGGCAACGCGCACCTACCTCCTGACCAAGAGGTATGATACACCCGAACAGCACCCTGCTACGACACAGCCATAACGGCATACAATACACGGCCTGCCCCCTGAACTTATTCAGCGGCGGGCGGTCGTGGAAGAATTTAACATCCGTCAGTGTGGTTGCTGTTGGGCATGCTGGCCTTCCACCATCAAGCCGATCATTCCAAGTACCTTACTCCAGCAGCTGGGGAAAAATGCCAACTTGACAAAAATTGAGCTATTCTGAGCAATCAGCCGCCCGCAGCCGCATGTTGCCCAGTTCGTCGCCTTCATAATCATCAAACACATATACACACTGTATATGTATATATCATACGGTACTTCTCTATATGTATAATTGTCAATGAAAGAGTCATGATGTGTCATGCCACCTCTGCAACCTGCGAGCAATTCCAGCAGCTGTAAGTCCCAGGATCTCGGGACAAGCCTCTCAATCTGCAAATGATGCCCACATCATTCCCGTGACTACTGAGGCTAGCGCATCATGACGTACATCATGTGTGTGTGTGTCTTATGAATTCCTGCAAGTGGCTCGCCCAAAGTTTCGCCCAACACGCTGATGTGGCGCCAAAGTCTGGCGCGCACCGCGCAGCCGATTTGAACTCGAACTCGACTGGCTGCCTGCTCCACCTATGATGCAAATGATTCAACTGCTGGCCGCATGAACATGATTCTCATCGATCAATATTCTTCAAAGAAATTCTGCTATGGGCCGGACCAAAGGAAGGGAGGAAAGGATGGGAAAGGAGAGGATCCAACAGAGCAGGTTGTAGCGCCATGATGTGATGAGAAGTGAAAAAATATCACAACAGAATGCTGCAAAGGTGGTTACTCAACCGGGGTGCTTAGAATCTGTCAAACATTATATACTAGTAACAAGGGCATTACTAGTAACAAGAACGCTACTAGGTTGGAGTTGAGGCCATCGCTAGTAGTTGGAGGCCATCGCTACTAGTAATTACATAACGAATTATAACGAGCTGTTTCTTTGCTACTTGACTGCAACTGGCCTGGGCTTGGACCGACACAACTTGCGCGAGTCGTGCTTGGTACACGTAGAGCGGTCGGTTCTGACACACAGCACACAGGTGGGTACAATTCCCCTTGTGCACAGCACAGGGCATTCCCCTCCAAGTCGCAGCAAGTGTAAGGGACTGGCTCCCAGTGTCAGTCCAGGACTCACCAGATCGAAGCTCACGCTTGAATTTGGTGCCCTTCGCATCTTTCAGGCGAGCAGGCGATTCCGCCTCATGTCTTCCAGCGATTCTGCGGTTGGCTGGGAAGACTCTACTCAAACGCAGAAGTGCTTTCAAAACCAACCGCAACCAAATGGAAACGTAAACTAAATCTGTGTTGGCAACATCCATTTCGAGGTCATGCTTAGCTCACCCCTGTCACAGGCTGCTATGTAGAGGGAGCCATCCTCGATTCTCAATCCATGTGCATGCTCCAGCCCAAACAAGGCGAGAACATACTTGTGCTCTGGTTCTCTCATAGCCTCGCCAGCCATCGAAAGCTGGTCCCAGGATGACACACAATAGCATAAAGCAGTCATGAGTTTATTGTCTTCCGCTCTCTGCGAATGCACGTTGTCTCACTAGGTTGAAAGCCATCATCTCGAACCGAGGAGACATCACCTAACACAAAGCAGCAAAGGCATGCCAAAGGCTACAGTATGGAGAGGTGGATGGCGGTAGACAGTCAACCAACCTGCCTTGGGGTGGAGCATCGGACTACTGTCAATGTCAGACCTCAGCAGTAAATCATTGGCGTCTTTGCTGGTCTGTGTCTTGGCGGCCGGGTTTCCCACAAAAGCTCTACACTCACAGGACCTTCGGTCAGGTTGGCTTTTGCCTTGAGCAGAGCCGCATCCTGCACTAAAGCCACCATCTGGTCACAGTTGCAAATGCCCGCACTAGTACCTCACAAGGTACCTGCCGCCTTGGAGGGCTACATTTTGTATCAGCTGCCCTTTGCTCCAAGAAACGCACGCCTGGCCATACATCCTCATTGCACGCAAGTGCTGCTTCCTGAGCTGATGACAAGGCTTCGGAAAAATCAACCTATAATCCTAACTTGGACTATCTTGGACTGCTGACCTGCTTAAGCTCTTGCTGAAGTCTCCCGCGGTCTGTGGCTTCCAGCGAGCCTGCACCACTCACTGGAGAAATAGAAAGAGATTTTGTGGTTCGATTTTGCCTTCTCGCACTCCATGATGTTGAAATTCATCTCGTAATCTCAGTTTGGCAGCGCTTGCTTGGTCGTGCCGTGCCCCTCAAGTCTTGAGCATAACTGTCTATCACATACAGTACTAGATAGTACTAGCATTCATGCTGACGCTGCGGCCATAGACGACTCTATCAACCTTCCAGACTGACACGGGTACAAAACACACACACAATTCCTCTACATATGTGTGCATCATATTATATATTTAGTATATACTATACAGTAGATATATATCTGTGTGCAATTTGCACTTTTAAAGCATGTTCGCGGCAAATCAGATTCTTTGCAACACCAGCGAACAGCAGAACCAAAGCACTGCACCTCTGGATCATTGATGTCATGCCAGGGCTTCCTTCTGCCCATGATCGGCCTTTGGGATCAATGCACGCGTGATCGTGGCTTTACTGACTCGTCTACATACATCATCATACATCGTTGGTTGGGCTCGCACGGGCGCTCTGAGTCTTTTGACAAGTTAGGACCTTACTCGTGTGAAACATACAGTCCAACCTGGCAAACTCAAAAGAAAAAGAAACCGGGCGCTCCAGAGCCAGGCTGTGTAGTCTAGGCATCAAGAATGGGCAGCTTCTGGAAAGAGACCTCACAGCACATCTGCTTGGTTAATCTTCACCCGTTCATAGCTCTACATGGACGGGCCTATCTGGCAAGTGATCGCCTTCTCTCCCATCCAACTCGAAGCGGCCCACTGTCTCCTGGCACAAATTCGAGGCAGGTGACCTCCTTCCTTCCCGTTCCTTCCCGTTGCCCTCTTTTTGTTGCCTTCAAGGGCTTCCGGGGCGGGAGCTTGTTGAAAGGAATGTTCTTGGTCCTCGCATCTTCACCGAACGTTCACATCTCCAAGCCGTGCATAGCCGGGACAGCTCACTCGGCTCACACTCTTTTGACTCGTTTGTGTACAACGTTCATGACACGGGAAGAGAGCTCTGTCGGTTGAATGGCTAAGCTCCAGTCTCTAGTTTCGGTCGCACCGCATCGAGGTTTGGTTTGTACTGCCCTGGCCTTGAAGCAGCGCGAAACCACCACCGTGTCATGTCAATTCTTAGCTTCGATCCACAAGACTACCAAGACCAAGGCTGAAAGTATGTGTCAGAGTCCTTGCGTTGAGATGCAGAAAGCCTTGGTCGTGGGTCGGGCATGGCCAGGTCACAAACGAGAAATCAAGACTCAAAGCATCTCTTTCAGCAAGGCATGCGAGGACAAAGCTTTGCAAAGTCCCATTTTGGGCTCCGGAGAATCATGGAGGTGCTAACATCTCCATCTAGGACACCGTCCTTAGCAAGTAATTAGTCATCGCCACTCGCGAAAGAAACTCCGATGTAGCACAGCCATAAAAGATCCACACTGTAAACTCGCTGTCGTGGAAGTGGATATTTGCCAACTTGATCATGTCTGGCCTTTGCAACCCGCTGAACTCTTACCCGTGCCTCTGCCCTTGTGGTTTTCACATTGTGTGATTGCTGCACGGTGTTGGCCTGGCTGTATATCTTTCCAGATCAGGTGTTGTGATAGCTCTCTGCAGCCTCGGCTGGTCAGGACGTGTCAATAGCAGCCGTCACGAATCACGAATTAGCTCCAAATAGTCATCCAGATTGCCATAGATTGCCTATTGCTCTTTCGGTTTTCTTCCGTGGACCGCACTTTTCAGGTGGCTGGTCCAGAAGCTCTACGCTTCTAACGCCCTCAGCATGGCAGTGTAGGCATTAGAACTTCACCCTCGCAGCATCCACAAAGTGCAATAAGAGTGTACCGTGTACCCTGTGTACCGGATCAAACTTGGCGTGTTACATCTGAGGTCCTCAGGTTGCAACTTGCAGTAAGTGCTCGTATGGCTTTCCTGCAGCCTGAAGCTTAGCCACCTGGCACACAAGCCGGCCGATCTTGGCTTCTGCCAGTGGAAAATCAACGTTGGCATCTGGATTACGGTGCAGTGTACGAAGGCACTACGATGAAGATTGGTGATAAACCTCTGATTCTAGTTCAGGCATATGTTCAACTGATAATCCTCGTTATGCGCATGTCTCTGTCGTCCGTTCAAGGCCTCCCGCTCGAAGACCTTCTGCTTTCTGCTCAGCGTTCCATCCGGCACCCGGAAAACCTGAAACAAAGTCGCAGAGCCTCTATATAATTACTCAGTGTTCAGTGCTTGACCACCAAATGTTTTGTCAAGGTCTGAATTCAAATTCGACATTGACCCCAAATCCGCAAACTGAGGAAACTGCTGGAGTCTTCACTCTAGGCTCACAAAGGTGAGTGCTCGGTCTGTAGGACCCTGGTGGTGGTGCCTTAAAGCATTCAAGATTGTGCTCTGTAAAGCTGCAAACCTCTCAAACTCTTCCACGGTTTGGTTGCTCTTCTTGTAAGCTGACCACCCGGAAACGGTTCTCCACTGCCTGGGCCCAAGACTAGTTAGTCTCCTTGAAATGTTGCCACAGAGTCAGGCCCTAAGAGTGAAACCAGGGAGGTCATCTGATCTCTGCTGCTGGAGACAAAAGACGACATTGGCCTGGCACCGTTGACCACTAAGCTTGGAGAGGGGGACACCGTAGGGTACTACTCCTTGCGCATCAGCTTTAAAAAAGCTGCCAGGTTCTATTTATCACGCACGCTGCTTGTAAATGTGTACTTACATGTGTCTGCGGCTATAGATGCATAAATTATGTATGCATATGTATGCATGGTCCCCCCTCCCTGGCACTAGAGCTTTGTGAAATTATTGATGTACTTTGTACAACTATCAGGGGCAAAAGAGGCCGCAAATGTATGTGCATCACAGAACATTGTCAACAATACATCAGTAAGTGTCTTGAGTTGCCTTTGCATCAAATCAGATGACATCAAAATGATAATAACATATGTATTTTCATATATACATATACATATATATATATACATATATGTGTGTGTGATTATGTATGATATCCCCCTCTGTCATGAAGTATCTGCTTATAAGCACATCCATCTGTTTGCAAGCACCTGAAGCAAACACCTACTGAAAACATCTGAAAACGTATCCTAACGAATCCAAACCAATCAAAACCGTGAAAGGGGACCACAATCCAAAAAATGAGAGCTTGCAAAACCCTCCAGGAGGTATCAAAATATAAAGTACCAAAGTCTTCCTGAAAAGGTAGGTAGATGCACCTACAAGCAAACGCCCTTTAAATGGAAGAGCCTTTGAGGGCGTTTAAATTTACTTATTCGACGAACTCTCCTCTCTCTCCCTCTCTCTCTCTAGCTCTTTCTCTAGCTCTCTCTCTCTCTCTCTCTGTCTCGTGAAACCTGTGACAATCGGGCTCGTATTGGGACGCGGTACCTCCTGTGTGCAAAATCTATGGTAAAGCAAGAAGTGTGTTTTATGAGACGAGACCACGATTTTGTGCTGGGGCTATCATGTGAAGGGCATTTCTTCAACGAGAATGCTATTCTGATCTTATCGTGGTAGAGCGCGCAATTTTTCTGCATCAGGGGTTTCCCGTTCTTACTCATTTTATTGCGAGATGTGTTTTTGTCTAATGAGAACGGTGAGTGCTGGAAGATTGCAGCGGTTTGCACCTACACTGTAGGACTGTAGGTTCCACGGGGGTAGAATATACATATATATATATGTTTGTGTGTGATCATATATGCAACACAATGTGTATTTAGTTATTGACTTATTTTGCAGGTGGTAGCAGCGGCAGCACCAAACAAAGTGAGGGCGGTCAACGATCACGGAAAGAAAGCCCTCGCTCGGTTTCTTTGAACCGCAAACTCACCGCCGGGCAATTGCATATAGTGTATATATATATACATCCATCGCCTCTGCAACCCACATATCTACATATATATATATTGCAATAATACAGTTAATCAACTGTAACTGTTTTGCATCACAATCATCACACCTGTTTCGTTTTCTCCCTGGCTCTTTCTCTCCCTCCATCTACTTCTCCTTCGGCCTCTTAACAGCTCTTTGTGATCATTCCCTATTGTCGAATTGATGCTTATGTATGACATGTGGCGTGTTATCGCAAGTGCGAGACCTGAGTATGTGATTTATGCCGGGCTGGTGTCTCTTTGTGTTTTAGCACTCACCGAGACAGGCGGGAGGCCTTTTCTGCTCTCGCAAAGCTCTAATCTGAGCGGGTGAGAGCTTCGCATCGTCCTGAGTCTCGACCTCACCCTGTCAGTGTGAAAGCACCGTGCCACGCTAGTAGTAACAAGAAGCTATTAGATACAAGTGCCACGCTAGTAGTAACAGGTGCCTTACTAGTAG